AGAGCAAATAAATCCAGTGCGCTCGGGTCTGTCCCAACATATGGTCCTTTTAACACATTTCACGTCTTGGACCAGGTTGTGCAACGATCCGTGGGGTCACTTTTCCTTTTCAGGTGCTGACCTGGGAAAGCCGCTGCTTTTCTAAGAAGAGCAAGCGCTCTGCTAGAATAAACACTAACATTAGCGGGTAGTCTTTCTTAGGAATCCCTTACCAGCTTACTCATATGGGCATCTATTTACAAGCTGTTGTCACCCCCTGGAGAGTGAAACTCTTGAGGTCGGACTCTTGCCCTCACACCCGGTCTGCGGCCGGCATTTGGCGCATCCACGAAGCCTTGCTGACAGACCGGGGAGAAGTGGGGCCAGGCTGGTCCCAGGGACGGGCACATCATTTAAACCATTCATGTTTGTTCACAAGCTGAACTTGATTGAACTTTCTGGAATGCAAACTCCAGAAATTCAAGGGTTTCTGCAGTTTTGTCCACGGGTGGACCCGGGTCCCCCACAGCTTCCTGGCGTCACCAGCGTGACTGTCCCGCTGTCTTCACGAGCATCGGTTCTCATTGCAGGAAACTCAAGGTCCTGCAGGTGTTCATCTCCTTAACTTCCAGAATGACCACTCAACTCTTCCATAGAAAACACGGAAAATTTACTCATGAAGATTCTCTGAACCCATTGCCCCAGAAATCCTCGCCTTGCTCCACCCGCCAGTTCTAAGTCGCAATATGGTAGTCCTTCCCCACCCTAACCAAACCTCCCTCCCGTCCAAATACCTGCCTTACACCAAACTCCCAGCCTCAGTGAATCCACCCTGCCCTCCCGCTGGACAGCGCCTGGCTGGGCTGGCAGGGCCCCTCACTGGTAAGCCCCATAGACTCCTGTGGTCTGGTCAGTGGGTCGGGTGGGTGGTATTTGGGGCCAGCACTCAGCACACCTCAAGCAGCCTCGGGCCCTCAAGAGGCCTGAATGAATGAGTAGGTGCAAGAGGATCACACGAGAGGGATCCAACACCTTATTAAGCGTAAATGAGAATGGGATCAGCCGTGAATCATCTCCAGGGCCAGGACAATGGGGCAGAGACGTTCGCTGTCCACACCGGCACGCTGCCCGTGACGCTTTGCCCAGAGCAGGTGCGTCTGCCATGTCTTTTTGATCCTAAATGACTTTTCTGGAGTCTGAGCCCAATGGTATGCGTCAAGGTTCACGGAGCCACAGAGGAACGCGCTCCCACCGCCTTCCCTCTGAACGCCCGGCGGCCAAGGGCCCAGCCTGTCCCCAGGAAACGTCTGTGGGCCACGCCAGGTTTCCCATGTGGGTCCCTTTGGATGCTCTTCCAGGAGAACCGGGTTTCCCGCGGGGCCTCTTCCTCGCTGAGCTGCTGAGCTGAGGCACCTGCTGACAGTGAGGGGCCAAGGTCTCTGGTTCTGCACAGCCCGGAGCTGCCACGGGGCAAACTCCCACCCAGCGCATCAGTCATAGGGGGAGGAATTAAATCCGGGATGTCCCCTGCCCACTCAGCTGGAGTTTGCATAGGGAGCAGAGGGTACCCCTGGGCCCTAAGTCCCCACTGCGGTGTGAGCCTGCTTCCCTCCCCAGTGCCCGGGGTGAGCGGCGGGCAGATGGGCAGATGGGCAGATGGCGGGCCTGTGTGCTTGCTTCAGGTTTCACTTGTAGCCCTGATGCCCGGAGCTAATCCTCTCAAGCTGCCCACTGAAACACCAATCCCCCAGGAGGACGCGTCCTTTCTCCCTTTCTTCCAAGCACAGCGAAAGCCCAGGTGCTTATCCTAAGAACATCTGAGCTCTGAAGCTCACATTTCGGGAGCGGGTGACAGAGATCAAGACTGTTTGCTGCCCGGGCTCCTGAAACTGTATTCTTCTCTGGACAGCCAGCTGGGCTGGGTCAGCTCCAAGCTGGATGGAGAATTCCCCAGAGCCAGGCCTCCAGGCAGATTCCAGGAGTGCTCAGGCCTCGGCCTCAGAGACACCCTGCTCTCCAGAAACTGTAGAAGGTTCTAGACCACACAGATAAATCGAGGGCTAAAAATCTAGCTGTGCTGCCCAAACAGGACTGTTCTGACAAGAAGACTCTGGCTCAGGTTCTGAACCCAGAATACATTTTGGCAACTGATTTATCTTTTTTATTCATTTTTTCCCCCTCAACTGTCAAATATCCCTTTTATCTATTCCTGTGTTTACCAAACTATTAAAAAAACTTTGATCTTTTCCTCTTGTCATGTTAAACTTTCTCTTTTTTGCTCATATTCATTTTCCCAGCCTTTCCTCTCGGCCCTCCCGCCCCATAGCCTGTGAAAAATAAAAACGACTAAACTCTTTGTCCTGTGTGGGAATCAGGTGCTGACACTGTGCTGGGTGTTACCAAGCCTGGCCTCGCGTGATCTGCACAGTGAAGCAGGCAGGACTTACAGCCTCATGTGCAGTTTGTAGATTGGAGGGGGGCGAGGGGGGCTGTGGGCTGAGCCCACACAGCCTGCCCCAGCCCAGCCACACTGCAGGGTGCACGGGGAGGGCCGGATATTCACCCCAAATACGGCTCAGGTCAAAAGGATTCTTTTCAGCTGATTATTTTTAAGACACAGGAGCTCTGAAAACTGAGTAAAAGTGACCCCTTTGAAAAGGAAACCTACGTTTATTAAGTGGATCTCCATTAGAAAGGGCCTGGCCAGGAAGAGGATCATCAGAGACAAGGATTGCTCCCCAGATAGAGAACCTACAGGAGGGGACCCCTGCTCCCTTCCAGGCAAACTGCCTCCCCTCTGCAGCCCAGACTCCCAAACCGTCCTTAGCTCAGGGGGAGGCATGAGCCTCGGTGGTCTGGATGCCTTTAGAGTCTCAGATCTTTGGGGGGCTCCCCACGTATTTAAAATGGCTCCCCTCTACTGTTTGTCTGTTATTACAAGGGGGTTTCAGCCAAGAACTCAGAAGAAGACAGGGACCATGCTTTTCCTCCCTTGCACCAGGCAATCCTCGATTCTGAGACTCCTTGTCAAAAACATGGCAGATGGTGGGGAGATAGAAGAGGGCTTGGCCACAGAGGGGAAGGAAAATAGGGAAAGTTGGGCGGTAGTTGCTAAGCAACCCGGCTGGGCAGGGGAGAAGAGTGTGCAGGAGACCTGCGCCTTAAAATGTATGGATGTTGCTAAGGCAGAAGTCTTTGAAAGGACCAATCAGAAGCTAGCAAAGCACAGATCTACCCCTAGACCAAGAAGCGCACGCTCTTCTCTCTGGAGCACTGGGCTCCTGGCTCCCCTGCGGCGGGGACAGGCTCCCCTGCGCCCGGGCTCATGGCTATGTGGGACTCCGCACATGGACTAATGGACTGTCATTAGCTCGGAGGCTGGACCACACCGGCTGCAACATGGAGCGGACGCTCTGGGCCCGGCCTGCTTCTGGCTCTCCTGGAACCCCAGCTGCCCCTTCCCCAGGACTGGCTGAAGGGGCAGGGACTTTGCAATGGAGACAGAAGCTTTGGTGGGAGCCTGCTTGCCCCACTTCTATCCCCACCCCCGCCTGCTGCAGGGAGTCTGTCTATCCCTCAATAAACTTTGCTTCCACTTCTGCTTACCGTCTTTGTCCGTGAACTAATTTTTCGACTTTGCAGGACAATGAACTCAGACCCGAACAGAAATGTTGGCATCAGTGGGTCCTGCCTCTTGAAATCACTGCAGAAATTACAACCTGGAAGGAAACCGGAGGGAGGACAAGTGGAAACAGTCAGCTAACGTGGTGGCTGCACGCCAGCGGAGCCTCCAGACCACTTCTACCGAACAAAAGCAGCATTATCAGATTAGGAGCTGCGGGGAACTGCCTGTACCAGCAGGATTAAGCTGCCTCAAAATTCCCCAGGACACGCTGACAGCTGTTTTCATTTCGATACTCCTAGCTTTATGAGTGACACCTAAGGAACAGTGAAGACTCAACATGGTTTCAACGACTTTAGAGAAAAACTGATCCCACCCCATCTGCCACCAGCTTGAAGTCACACAGGTCACAAGTCACCTTGAACAGTTATTTCCCACAGAATTGGGTGACTAACTCCCAGCACGCGTTTTAAACATCTAGACTCCAGAGACTGCAATCAGAAGGAAGACTCTGGCTGTTCATTTCTGCGAGTTGATGAGTTTCAGCCGCCCTGATTACTTGAGGAAAGAAGGGAAGAAATGTGCCATTGCCGCTGTCACTGTGACATACATCCAAACCTCTAGAGAATTTTTATGAGTTTATTTTAGCCAAACTGGTAGCAATTGCCAAAAAGCAAAGTCTCAACAGATTGAGAAAATGCTGCAGAGAATGGCAAAGCAGAAGACACAGGGGGTTACATGAAACCCACTGGTGATAGATCGAGGAAGCAGGAGAAAGCAAAGTGGGGAAATACCTGGGATCGGGTAGGAAGTAGACCGGAGACACACATGCTTATTTCACTGCGGGCACCGGAGAGTTAATGCCCTCACAGCAGAGAGGAGGTGTGCAGGGGCCAAGAAGAGGATGAGGTTCGTGGTCGCCTCGGGAGACGGCGCCCTGAGGGTGGAGGAGATTACTCTGAGATTCCCGGCCAAGAAGAGGATGAGGTTCAAGAAGAGGATGAGGTTCGTGGTCGCCTGGCCTGTCGGGAGACGGTGCCCTGAGGGTGGAGGAGATTACTCTGAGATTCCCAAGGAATGTCATCCTGGTGCAAAAAGACGAGAGAATGAGTTCAAGTCGAGCTGGACCTTTGCCGAGGAAGCTGCAGGCCGAGGACAGACAACCCGCCCTGACTTGTACTAGTTAGGAGGTTTCATGTGCAGACCCTCCCATGGGGTCACTTTCGGTCTCTGCTGTGCAGGCCTCCCCTGAGCCTGTCGGGTTCAGCGTGCGGCCCCTTTGTCATCCACACTACGGTGATGTGTATTTAACAATCTCTCTCAAGAGGAAAGAAAAGGTGGGGGGCAGATAGCAGGCATTCTGGGAGGATTTCAGTGTAAAGTGGAACCAGAGGGCATGGAATGAAGACCCGCACACGTGCCCTCAGAGAAACGGAGCTGGAGAACAGGTGTCAGGGGCAGAACCAGAACAAAGGGGACCAGCGTAGACATAGGAAGTACTAATCGTGCTGTTACCGTGACGGTTCTCTTCTGATGACAGAGAGCACTACCCTGGCGGGGAGCTGTGCACCAGGACCTGGGAGCTCACGGAATGCAGTCCGCCCTCCTGCCCCGAGAACTGCCTGCATCATGGAAAGATAACCACCTCGTGGCTGAGGCTATCTGGTCCCCGAGGCACCGCCCTATGCGAGCCCCGTCCCGCCCGCATTGCCTGTAACCATACGCCTGGCCCCCATCCCCAGGCCTGTAATTTCTACTGTCCTGTGTCACCTTTGTCCTTCTCCCCCATAGAAGAGCTGGCTGTGGGGAGGGGAGCAGATTGTGTGGATGGCCACTGCTCTCCCACGCTGCCGGCAGGATTGGAACAGACGCCCATATAGGATTCGACCCATCTCTGCTGAATTGGCCCTGGAGGCCTCTTGGTTGTCTGGTTTCACAGGGACAGTTTATTCCAAGCAAACGTCTGATGAGCAGAGAAGCAGAACTGCCCCTGACCAGCGAACGTCCGCCAAGAACCCTCCTCAACCTCAGCCTGTCACCTTCCGTGGACTCAGGCTGCGCCCCTCGGCACCCCGCCCCATACACACAGCCCCCAGCCCTCGGTGCCCCCCCCCCAGGGCTTGCTGCCCTGCAAGGTTCCCAATGGCACCTCCTCTGCCTGTGCCCGAATGAGCTCCATTTCTGGTCATTTGAGCCTGCCTCAGTTTACCTCTTTATTTAGGTTGACAATGTGGGCGGAACAGAGCATTGTGACATTGGTGAGGATTATTCCAGATCCTGGGCTGAGCAATTCTGTAAGGAGAACTACAAAACGTGACCAAACATGATGCGTCGCTCACACTGCAAAGCGTATGCATGCCTGTGTGGAGACCTGAGCCTTGTTAACGTGGATGGTGACAGCTGGCGTTCATGGTGAGTTGCAGGCGGAGTTACAGGTTAACTGGCAGTGCTTCACAGCGACCACTTCCTACTGTGCTTGGGAGGGACGGTGAGCGGACGAGAATGTTGAGCTCTGGGCCCTCCAGTCTGAAACCTCAGCTCAGACGCACCCGAGGAGGAATTCCTCTTGTACTGCAGCACCGTCACATGGGCTGTGACTAGGGGAGACAGGTAGCATCTCAGGGTCCCTTCTACCCCCAGGACCGGGGCTCCAGTCTGTTATCTCACAGAGCAGGAAGGTCCGCAGGGTTCAGTTAGGGTTATATGCCTTTCGCCAGGCACACGGATGTCACTGAGCTTTTATAGCCTCTCCAAGAGGAAGAAAAAATACTTCAAACCAGATCGGAACTAAAAACTGAGAGTCACCAGGAAGGAGCAAGTGGTACTGGGAAACCCCCGGGTGGGCTCGGCCTGCCTGTCACTGTGTCCAGTAACGAAGGCCGGGTTGAATCACGTAAGGCGTTTACTGAGCAGGCCAGCCAGCCAAGAAGACAGGGCCCTTACAAGCATCAAATCCTGCCTCCCAGCAGGTGCAGGGGGCAGGGTTATAAAGGGGAAGGGGCTGGGGTGAGGCTGGGAACGGAGTGCAGCTACGCGCAGCCCTGGGGGTCCGCAGACGTCAGTTATTGTCCTTGTCATCAGGCGATGAGATGATGTGGATGAGATGATGCTTTCCCTCCTGGTGGGTCAGCCTGACCATGCTTATCGGGTCTGCTTGCTGGATTCACAGCTGAGTCGCCTCCTCCATTGCTTTGCACAGGCCTTGGAAAGGACACTTAAGAAAAACGTAACCCCTCTTCACATGTAAGAAACTTAACCCCTGTTCACATAGGTGTATGTGATCTAAGATTTAAAATAATATGATTATTTTTCAGATGAATTCGGGTGCTCTATCAATCAGATTATAGGGCCCCCATCACAAGCAGAGCAATAGAAAAACCAAAGAGGGCCATTTGTATTCTCAAATGTTCAGGTGCTTTAACCAGAACCTTCCATGTCAGCATCCTGTGGAGACGGGCAGAGAGGGCCGCCTGTGTGGTGGCCGCCTGTGTGCTATCTGCCTGTGTGGTGGCCGCCTGTGTGGTGGCTGCCTGTGTGTGGACTGCCTATGTGGTGTCTGCCAGTGTGGTGGCCGCCTGTGTGGTGTCTGCCTGTGTGGTGGCCGCCTGTGTGGTGGCTGCCTGTGTGTGGACTGCCTATGTGGTGTCTGCCAGTGTGGTGGCCGCCTGTGTGGTGTCTGCCTGTGTGGTGGCCGCCTGTGTGGTGGCTGCCTGTGTGTGGACTGCCTATGTGGTGTCTGCCAGTGTGGTGGCCGCCTGTGTGGTGTCTGCCTGTGTGGTGGCCGCCTGTGTGGTGGCTGCCTGTGTGGTGACCGCCTGTGTGGTGACTGCCTGTGTGGTGGTTGCCTGTGTGTGATGACCGCTTGTGTGGTTACCGCCTGTGTGGTGGCCGTCTGTGTGGGGTCTGCCTGTGTGGTGGCCGCCTGTGTGGGCTCCGCCTGTGTGGTGGCCGTCTGTGTGGGGTCTGCCTGTGTGGTGGCCGCCTGTGTGGGCTCCGCCTGTGTGGTGGCCGTCTGTGTGGGGTCTGCCTGTGTGGTGGCCGCCTGTGTGGGCTCCGCCTGTGTGGTGGCCGTCTGTGTGGGGTCTGCCTGTGTGGTGGCCGCCTGTGTGGGCTCCGCCTGTGTGGTGGCCGTCTGTGTGGGGTCTGCCTGTGTGGTGGCCGCCTGTGTGGGCTCCGCCTGTGTGGTGGCCGTCTGTGTGGGGTCTGCCTGTGTGGTGGCCGCCTGTGTGGGCTCCGCCTGTGTGGTGGCCGTCTGTGTGGGGTCTGCCTGTGTGGTGGCCGCCTGTGTGGGCTCCGCCTGTGTGGTGGCCGTCTGTGTGGGGTCTGCCTGTGTGGTGGCCGCCTGTGTGGGCTCCGCCTGTGTGGTGGCCGTCTGTGTGGGGTCTGCCTGTGTGGTGGCCGCCTGTGTGGGCTCCGCCTGTGTGGTGGCCGTCTGTGTGGGGTCTGCCTGTGTGGTGGCCGCCTGTGTGGGCTCCGCCTGTGTGGTGGCCGTCTGTGTGGGGTCTGCCTGTGTGGTGGCCGCCTGTGTGGGCTCCGCCTGTGTGGTGGCCGTCTGTGTGGGGTCTGCCTGTGTGGTGGCCGCCTGTGTGGGCTCCGCCTGTGTGGTGGCCGTCTGTGTGGGGTCTGCCTGTGTGGTGGCCGCCTGTGTGGGCTCCGCCTGTGTGGTGGCCGTCTGTGTGGGGTCTGCCTGTGTGGTGGCCGCCTGTGTGGGCTCCGCCTGTGTGGTGGCCGTCTGTGTGGGGTCTGCCTGTGTGGTGGCCGCCTGTGTGGGCTCCGCCTGTGTGGTGGCCGTCTGTGTGGGGTCTGCCTGTGTGGTGGCCGCCTGTGTGGGCTCCGCCTGTGTGGTGGCCGTCTGTGTGGGGTCTGCCTGTGTGGTGGCCGCCTGTGTGGGCTCCGCCTGTGTGGTGGCCGTCTGTGTGGGGTCTGCCTGTGTGGTGGCCGCCTGTGTGGGCTCCGCCTGTGTGGTGGCCGTCTGTGTGGGGTCTGCCTGTGTGGTGGCCGCCTGTGTGGGCTCCGCCTGTGTGGTGGCCGTCTGTGTGGGGTCTGCCTGTGTGGTGGCCGCCTGTGTGGGCTCCGCCTGTGTGGTGGCCGTCTGTGTGGGGTCTGCCTGTGTGGTGGCCGCCTGTGTGGGCTCCGCCTGTGTGGTGGCCGTCTGTGTG